CATCGCCAGCAGCTCATGTGTGTGGTCAACTACCAGCTGGATCGCTTCACCGAGAGCATCACCCTCAACGTGCAGTGTGAGTGAGCCCAGGCAGGGCTGGGGAGCAGCCCTCCCACCCTGGCGTGGGGCAGAAAGGCTGGCAAGAGGTTGTGTCTGAAGGGAAGGTGTTGGTCTGGTGGATGGGATGAAGTAGAGGGTTGCTTTCTTTTCTGGGGGATGAAAGATGAAATAATGCCATGGAATAATCGTGTGCTTTCTCTTTTTCATACCTTTCTGTGCCTGTCATGCCCCTTTCCTCCTCCCTTTCTCTCTTTCCTTCACTTACTCTCTCTGGCATACCTTGTCCCATCATCTTTCCCACCTTGCCACCTCTCCTTCTCCCACCCCTGCGCCCTCATCTCTTCCTGTTTCATTCCCCCCCTCTTTTTCATACCTCTTTCCTCTCCTTCTCCCACCCCTACACCCTCATCTCTTCCTATTTCGTTTCCCCTCCTCCTTTTTCATAACTCCTTCCTCTCCTTTTCTATCCTGCTTTCCTTTCTCATCCCCCTGCAGATGAGCCAGAAGTCACTATTGAGGGCTTTGATGGCAACTGGTTTCTCAACCGGAAGGATGTGAAGCTGATCTGCAAATCTGATGCCAACCCTCCAGCTCACACCTATGAATGGAAGCTGTAAGTGCCTGCAATGCTTCTGCTCTCAACAGCACATAGGAACAGGGTCGTGGAGCCACTGTAGAAACCTAGAAACCTCAATTATACCCTGGTCAGTCAGGGCCCAGCCACATTCCTGCCAGTTGTGTCACTCCAAGGTAAAGCCCATGCATGTGAGGGGATGCTGGAGCTGTGCTCCTGCAGAATGCTCAGAGCTGAGTCTGGTTCCCTGGCACAGCTCTGCCAGGAAGGGGCTGATTTCTTTATTTGCAAACAAGGGAAGCTGCTGTCTTCAGCCTTTCTGCAGAGAAAATAGCACAAAATTGATCTGCTTGTGATAAAAACCTTCCCCTGGAATCAGCCCTGCTTGTAGGCAGGAGCTCCCCACTCCTCCCCACACAACTGACATTCAACAGAAGCAATTCCTTGTCCTCCAGGGTTTCAGCTTTTGGCTGAACACACTAAAGGGACTGAAAAGTGAGCAAGGGATGTCTGGGGAGTCGGGTGGGAATTGCTGCAGCCTGATGTGGTTCTCTCTCTCTTTTCGATAAGCACTCATGTAGCTTTAAAAAAAGAAAGATCAAATGGATTCTTTCTTCTTTTCAGCTGGCATTTGTCATCAGGAAAGAGGCTCTTAAAATGGCTTTGCAAGGAGCTAGGCATATTCTCTCTCCTTTCGCTTCTCGGATCAAACTCTTCACAGTGAAAGCCTGAAGAGGATTGTTTTTCTTGCCTTTTTTCTAGCTCACGTCCCCAGCTCTCTCTCTGTTGGTTCTGCCAGTTTTTAAACTCCGAGGGGGCACTCTGGGTTCCTCACAACATTGCCAGGAAAGCGTCAGAGGCAGAGATGCCCCTTGTGGCACCCAAGGCAGAAAAGCTGCCAGCTTAGGCTGTCTGTGCTTAGCAGGGCTGGCAAATGGAGCTGAGGTGAACCTTGTGGGCTGGAGCTGGGGACAGGAGGCAGATTTGCTCTCTGCTTTTGGCCACTCATTTCACCCCTTTGTTCTGCAGGGCTGGAGGCTGAGCTCTTGGGCATCAGGCTCTCCATGGCTGGAGCTCTGCTGCTGTGTCCAGACAGAGCCAGCAGCACAAGTGGCCCCTGATCTCTGGTGGGGCAGTTTGCTCCTGCTGGGCTAGTTCTGCTGAAGGAAAGCTGAGAGCTGAATAACAGGGTGCCCAGGTGCCAAATGTCTCAAGTCAGGTGGTGGTTCAGGGCAGCAAAGAGGGTGGGTTATCAACTAGGCACAGACCCAACGTGGGATGCAGGTGTCAGGGCTGAGCACGGTGCTCAGTGTGACATGTTGTTTGCACACCTGCTTTACACACTGTGCTGGTCATAAATCCAGCTCTGGCAGAAACCATTCTTGGGAACAGCCTATCTTTGAGCCAGGCCTTGAGTTGCTCCCTATCTGCTTGTGTGATTGATGATTTATGTATGTTTTAAAAGAAAAAGCACTGAAAAGAGTTGTTTTCCTATGAATTCTCTGTGAGCTGTGTGTAGGTCCATTTGTCCAGCCAGAGAAATGGCCACCAGCATCTTTGTTTTATCCATGGGCTCATATGTCTCTCTTCCCCTTCTTGGGGATCAGGAAGCAATTACTGCTGGTGATATTTCACTCCTGCCTGGAGTGTAAAAACCATCCACACTTGCCTCTCATTTGGATAGTAGTGAGCAACAGTCAGGAGAGCTGTGAGAGGAAGCAGTAGCCTTCTCTAAGCATCCCACACCACAGTTTTCACATGTCCTTGTCCTAGGTTCTGGGTCCTGTAGGCAGAAGACCAATTTTAGGTTGTTCTATTCTTCTAGCAGCTTTGGGATTGTTGACTTGATGTAGCTGAGAAGGACTAAGGTGTTTGCTGCACATATGTGCCTATGTAGACATGCAAGATATGTGCATTTAATCACCTCTTCACAAACCTAATTACACCCCCTTTATTCCCTTTTGTTTCTTACAAATTGCTGACAATTTGTACACATGTTTGTTGGGAGGAGGGGAAAGGCTTAAGTAATTTTTAATTGCCTAAGAGAAGTAATTACTTTGCTTCAGTAATTAAGAATAACCAGGTCATGTGTGTCTTTGCCTAACACACAGGGGGGTTTTATTTTTTGTCTGCCTTTCTTAACTTGTTCTGTGTATCTCTAGACTGCATTTTGCATTATTCCAGTTTCACACTTACCTGACTGTTCTGACATGGGCAGGTCATAGATGGCAGGGCTCTAAATCAGCATCACTTTCCTCAAGCTGGAGTTGCAATTAACACTGGCTGATCAGCTCTCCAGGAGGGTTATTTGGGCAGGAAATTGGAGGGTCAGGTTGGTGTCCTATTGTTTCCCATCAAAGGGAAAAGTCAGGGATGGAGGAACACTCTGAAGATGAGCCTGCTAGATGTGAGTCACCTGAAACAAGAGTGGCCTGACCATCTTACCCTAACCTACTTGGGGGATTGTGCTGGAAAATTAACTGCTTTAAGGCTCTAAGTTTTGTTTTCTGGATAGAACAGGGAGTGAAAGTGCTCCACATCCCATTAGCCAAGTCCAAGGGGCTCCGTGTGACCCAAATAAGTCCAATCTCCCTGGTAATCACAGAGAAAGGAAAAAAAAAAACCCAATCCATGCATAGAACTTGATTTTTATGCAGTGATTTACCTCGGAGACACTCTGCTGATTCTTTCCTGTCGTGCTCCTGGCTGAGGATTTGGTTTCAAGGCTGACCACACGAATGGGTCCTTTCCAGCCAGCACCACCAGGTTCTGGACCTGCCCAAACATAGAAGCAGCATCTCTGTGTCACCTCTGCAGCACTGCTTGAGCCTGTTGACTGTCATCTCTGGGCCAACCATGGTCTTTGTTCCCCTTAGGCCAAACGGGACCCTGCCAGGGAGTGTGGAGATCCAGAACAACACCATCTACTTCAAAGGGCCTGTGTCCTACAGCGTGGCTGGCACCTACATCTGTGAGGCCTCCAACGCCATCGGTACACGGTCGGGCTTGGTGGAAGTCAATGTCACAGGTAGGAACACACTTGGTGTGCTTTGAAAGTCAGAAGAAGAGGAGGAGAGGGGGAGAGGAGAGTGAGCAGCTGCCCATTACCAGTCAGATACATCTTCATGTCTGTTTTCATCACTAGTGCCTCCTACTAGGGATGGGATGCAAAAGGAGCAGTGAAGTTCTTTGCTTGGCACTGGTTGGGCTTGGATTTTTTCTCCTTTCCTCTTCTCTTTTCCTTTTTCACACCAAGATGCAGTTTCCCCCTTCTGCTTTGGATCCAGAGAGATCACAGGACGTGTTCAAAGTGAAGAGATGTCAGGGAGAGATTTGTTAGGAGGTAAAAGGAGTCGGATGAGGACACAGACTGCCACTGAGGCAGTAAAGCATGAGATGTAGGAGTCATTTGTTCAGGATGATGTCTGGTGTTCCTGATGTTGGGTAATCCTCATGGTTTTTCATTTGTGCTCCTTCCAATGCCACGTTGGTCTGTGCCCTTGCTCACCTGGCTGACATGGATTTACTAAGAGGCTGTGAGCCCTTGAGTCGCTTTGTCTGAGCTCCAGGAAGGAATAACACCAAGGAATGCAGACAGTGGGAAGTGATGCTTTGTGATGTCACATGGGACAGAAGGAATTGGACGACTGGCAAATCAAGAGTAGCCCTAGGAGTGAGGAAAAGACACATGGATATGCTTAGGTAGTGTCAGGGAGAGAAAGCCACCTGAAGAAATAGGTTGAAGAGAAATAACATATCAAGTACCTCTTGCAGGAGAGGGACATGGAGGGAGGACCATGCAATGAAGCAGTGTTGCCTGCCTGGGAGATGTGCCAGCAGCTGGGGTGACTGGCCAGGGCTCCCTTCTGACCCTGCAGCTGGCCAGCAGCTCTGTGGGGGCTCAGCACTGGTCTCTTTTGGGTGCCTCCCTCACCCCCCAACATGTCCAGGTTAGTTGGCAGCACAAACCACGGCACACTTTTCCAGCAGACTGTGTCCTGCAAGTGCCACAGGCAGCACAGAGACCTGTGAGGTGCACGGGGGGCTCCCCAGGCATGGGGAATACAGGCCAGGTTCCCAGGGTTGTCAGCCCTTCCTCCTCTCCAGCCCGAGGCAAACCAGAGGGCCTGCTGTTCTGAGAGCTGGCCACCTCTCTGAGCTGCCCCAGTCCTGGAAGAGCTGTCTAGCCTCAGAGGGATGGAACACCAGCCCCCTCCACCCACTCTCTGCTGTGGCAGGTGCTGAGCAAGCATAAGGATGAGGCCTGGGCAGCTGACCTCCTGTAATTAGCAGTAACACTGTGTTTGGCACATCAACTCCCCTCTTCTGCAAAAGGGGTAAAAAAAGAGGCTAATCCTCCTCTATCCAAGTGGTTGGAGGTCAATGGATGGGATGTGCTAATTAGATGCTAATTACCGAGTATTTATTTATGATCATTATCACTGTAGCAGGCCTTTAATTCACACCTCCTGTCCTGGATCTTTGCCTGCTGAGTTTTTTCCTGCTCTGTGCTTTTCTCTGGGGGATTTTTCCTTTGCCAGTGAAAGGCAGCACGATAACAAAGCTCATTGTTCTGCATGCACCACCCACCCGGAGCTGGGGGGGAGGTCATGGCCAAAACCCATTCAGCCACTGGCCATTTCGTGGGAGTTGCCACCAAAAGCAGTGTGTGTCTGGGACAGTGCAGGGAACTGCCTGGTGCAAGCTGAGGAGATTCACTTCCCATCAGCAGGAGAAATCCATCCCATGTAGCAACTGGCACCTTTGGTCACATTGGAAGTGGTGATTGGAAGGAAAAAACCTCCAAGTTCAGTCCCCAGTTGCTGAGAAGGAGAAGGGATTGCAGGAGACAGAGAAGAACCATATCTCTCCACCATATCTCATTCTCTATTTCTGCATAGCCTATATGTCCATTTACTGCTGTCATTCTGTCTATCCAACCACCCCATATCTCTTGTGGTGACAGGAGACACGTTCCCAAACAGCAGATACAGCCCTCTGTTTGTAATTCCTGCAGCCTGCCAGCATTTCATCTGTCTGAGCACCATCCAGGCTGCACCAACTTGCCTGCACAGGCACAGGGTCTGGGGGTTCCCCCTCCAGGCTTCAGTAAATGTCTCTCCCTCCCTGGTGGCTTTCCAGGGCACTGGTAGAGCATCATTCTCATGCTCAATCAGCACCATGCTGGCAAGGGAAGCAGCGACTGGCAGGATATCTTTGGATTGATGTCTGCCTGCCTGTAATCTCCATTTATTCCCAAAGGTCTGAGTTGTGGGGTTGAGGTCAAAGGAGAGGGAAGGCAAGGCACACCCACAGCTGGCCTGCTAGGAGGGAGGAGCAGCCAACCCTTTAGGCCAGGCCTCCACCACATAAAAACCCACTTTTAATAATTCATGGCATCTGAATATATTTATCCAGCCCTCCCTAAGGACCGATTAGGCCCGTGCTAGGGAGGGCTCAGCCATCCTTGCTCAGCTATTACAGGTACATTTGTTTGGGTCTTGCAGGCAATTTAGGGATTGTCAGTGGACCACAAAACCTCTTTCAAAAGCTGCATGCAATAAATGGAGCTCAATCTAGTGAGCAGCCAGCCTTGGGAGAAAAAACCCAGAAGGCTGAAGCAGAGAAAATGCTGCAGCAGCTTTTACCCCTCCTGCCTCCTTGGGACCTTCCCCCTCCTGCCATCCAACATCCTTCTTCCCAGCCCCATGCCCAGAGAGGAGGAGGGCAGGGTTGGTTCAACCCTGTCATGGGGAGGGTGATTTATTAGGGGAAGGAGGCTGAAGGCTTCTGTTAGAGTTATAGCGCATTAAAGAGATTGATAAGTGGAAATTTAATATTTTATTCCTGCAATCTGTTCCTATAATAGCTTCTCCTGCCTTGCAGGACCTTTGTCAATCGCTGGCAAGCCGTGTAGTGTGACATGTAACTATTTATTACAGGCAGTTGGGTGACATAATCAAAGGCTGTGGCTGTAGAGTGCACGTGTGTGAGGATGCTGCACAGAGAGCTGGGCATGGGCACGGGCATGGGCTAAATTCTGAACCCACAACAGGGGCAGCCAAAGCCCAGCTGCAGCAAAAGCACCACCAAGGACTGCTTTAGCTGGGAGGCTGTGGGGCTGGGGGCTACAGAGGAGCAAGCCTGGGGGGAAGGGGGGTCTGTCTGATGCTAATCTTCCCGGATGGAGGGTGGCAGCTCTGCTGCATCCTGTCTGATGGCATCTGTGCCAACGGCCCCGGGGGGAGCAGTGCCTGATTGACAAGCGATAGGTGACCTGACAGAGAGATTAAAACCTAAGACAGGTTTGGCAGCTGGCCTAAAAGCCGTCACGCTCCGAAACGCCACTGGGGCAGCTGCTAAAAACTTCTGGATTAGTTGCCAGTGGTTTTTTCCACCCCCGCTGCTTCCTCTTCCCCTGGCCCAGCGAGGAGAGCAGAAATCCGTGGTGGGGGGAGAGGAGAGGCAGGATCCCTTGAAGCCACAGATGGAGGGGCAGGGGCTGTTGTGAAGGGAAAAGGACAGCAGTGCTACGAGCTGGTCAAACTGCAGGGCCAGAGATATCTCCTGATCTTCACTCCTGTATCCATCTGTCACACAGGGGGTCAAAGTCCTGGGACAGTTTGCAGTCTGTCTCTTAAAAACCCCCACGTGATCGCTGCTGTGTTTGCTGAGGCCATCTGGGAACTGGAAAGCTCCATGAACCCACTGGAATTAAAAATTCCTTCTCCCTGGAGCTGCTGGCCCCTGCTTCCTATTCCTATTCCTATTCCTATTCCTATTCCTATTCCTATTCCTATTCCTATTCCTATTCCTGGTCCTGGTCCTATTTCTATTCCTATTGAATTTTGCAAGGCCAGAAGGAAATCCAGGGCTTTCCTCTGGAAGAGCTTCATGCAATGAACACATGTCCAAAAGGTAATTTCTTATGGAGTTTGATGTTCTCCTCAATGCCCAAGGCTACAGTGAGAATCTCAGCTGGTGCTCAGTTTTTCCTGGGCCCTTAGGATAGGAGGGAAAAGGATGGAAATGTGACTTCAAGAAAAAATGTATCCACAGGAAATAGTATCTTTAAGGGGTGCAATGAGCAGAAGGGCTTTTGAAAGCTGGTTTCCTGTGGATCTGCATATAATTGAAGAATTAGTGGGTGTTTAAAAATACACTTTTTGGTCTGATCTGGGCCCTTCCTGCCCTTTTGGAGCAGCCTCTTGTCCCTGTGGGTGCTCTGCTGGCTAATGAGGTTTAGCTCCCACCTCTGCTAGGGATCCCACTCCAGCTCTCTCCAAGAGCTTTATGATAGGGATAATTTGGGTTCTTTCTTCTGTCAGATAACACTGAAATCGGCCAGCAGGTTCAAAGAGCATTAGATAAGGCACTGATGGACAGGCAGGATGATTTGCATGCGTCTCATTTTGATTGGAAAGCAGCCATTGAAAGAAAGTTATGATGTTAAAAACGTGTATTTTTGAAGCCATGGCTGTGAAGGGGAAGGTCTGGCTGGTCTCCCATGCCCCTGGGTGCTGCAGGCAGCAGCTGGGACAGGGAGATGCTCAGAGCCCTCCACCTTGCACGGAGGGATCAGAGAGAACCCGTGGGCTCGGCCAGGTGGCAGAGCAAGCCCAGGGCAACCCCCCAGTCTCCCCACATGCCCAGCTGCCACCCCAGAGGTCTGGCTCCTGGCACGGGGAGAGGAAGCCGGGCTGAATGCAACAGCTGGCAGAGCTGGGCAGCGGGCAGATAGTGTTGCTGCTTTAATTCCTATTCATGCAGCACTCCTTTTTATGAGGGCTGGGGTGGGGGGGAGGCTTTTTATGCTGGCATTAAAGCCGAGCTTGTTCCCCCCCCCC